AGCGGTGTACGTGGGGGCTGCAGCGCGCACCTGTCGGGTTGATGCGTAGGAGGAGCGCCGTGAGGAGCAGCAGCGCGACGGCGACGGCCACAGAGAGCAGCGGCGCCTGAAGGCCGTGTCCAAGACGAGTCCGGGACACGTCTCGGACGTGACCTGGCGGCACGCAGCGTCGTCGGTGCAATCGCGCTGCCGACGCGCCGCCGGAGTCCGCTCTGCAGCAGCCAGCTGTGCCGCTGCAGCAGCCAGCTCTTCTGCTGGCGGCCGAGCAGGCTCGCGGCGGCGTGGCTGCGCCCCTCCGGCGGGGAGGGCGGCAGCGACGCGGGCGGCGACGTGAAGAGCGGCTCCTACGACGTGCGGGTCACGTCGGGTGAACTCGGGCGATCTCGGGCGATCTCGGGCGATCTCGGGCGATCTCGGGGAGGCGGCCTCCTCCTCGGGCGAGAGCTGTGCGCTGTACTGCGCCAGCCACGCGACGAGCTCCTCGCCCGCACGGCCCGGCTCCCACCCTCCCAACGCCTCCTCCACCCCTCCCCCCTCCGCCTCCCCCCCTCCCGCCGCCGCCTCCGCCCCCCACGAAGCGCCTCCCGCCGCACCCCACCCACCCCAGGGGCCACCTGCCGCCACAGCCCAAGAGCCGACCGCAGGGGCCGCAACGCCCCACGCGCCTCCCTCCGCCTCGCCGCCCTCCGTCTCGCCGCCCTCCGCCTCGCCCCCCGCCGCCTCGCCGCCCGCCGCCTCGCCCCACAGCAGCTCCTCGAGCAGCCCCGGAGCGGCGAGGGGCCCGTCGCTCCAGCGGCAAGCAGGCAGCGCACAGCCGTTGCTAACGGCGGCGGCGGCGGGAGCGGCGGGGGCGAGCGCCGACTGCAGCGAGAAGGCGACCTCGCCCGGATGGCCGGGCCGCCCTTCTCTCCAGCCGCGCCTCTCGTCTCGCCCGCGGCAGTCTCCTCCCCCCGTACTCAGAGGCGGCGCGAGAGGCGGCGCGAGAGGCGGCGCGAGAGGCGCGAGAGGCGGCGCGAGAGGCGGCGCGAGAGGCGGCGCCGCGGCAGCCGCCGCCGCCGCCGCTACATCGCAGGGGGGCGTGCTGTCGGGGCGAAGGTGTTGCTGTTCGCCGCCACGCCGCACGTGTGGCAGAGGGACGGAGAGGACGGGCTTCAGCGTCTTGCCGACGCGGAAGCCGAGGGAGCTGTCTTGCAGCCCGGCCGGGAGGGGCGAGAGGCCAGGCAGGTCGACGTGCGTCGCGTCGCGAAGGATGACGAGCTTTGCGCCAGAGCAGCACTTCGTCTGATTCACGATTCGGTGCGCCGGAAGGACTGAAGGCGGCGTGCTCTTGCGGCGGCTTGTGCCGCTGCGCGGAAGATTCCATACCCCCACCGAGTGGGTGTTTGCGATGCCCTCGTCGCGGAGGACCCGGACACGACGCGCGGGGATGAAGATGGTACCCTCGCGGCACCGGGGACAAAAGTGCTCTTTGAAGGCACCGCTCATCGGACGGACAGGCGGGCAGGTGGCGAGGCCGGCAAGCTCGCCTCCCCAGCACCGCTCGAGCGGCCTCTCATCCGACTCGAGCGGCCTCTTGAAACGGTCCATGCCGGCGCTATGCAGGGAAGAGTCGGCAGTGCGGGCACGTCTTCCACCGGCGCCGGCGGATATTTTCGCCAAGTACCCGGTACTCGAGTACCGATGGAGACTTGAGCACTTGAGCACTTGATAGGGTCGATTCCGCATGGTACGGGACCCCTCGATCGTCTCGCCCTCCCTCACTGGTGTGTTCATTGGGGGGGGTCATAACAAACACGGTGCAGGATCGAGGTGCACGCTGCAGAAGCAGTGTCGTCCCCCCTCTCCCCGACGGCGATGGCGGTGTGGCCGATCGAGCTACAAGAGGAGCTTGTTCAGCAGGATCCGAGTGCCGATGGAGACTTCAACTGTGTTGCCGACCCCGCACTCGACTTGCGACGCACAACCCCCTCCCCCTATGAAAACGACGGACACGATGTCCTGGAACAAATCGCCTCCGAAAACGATCTCGTCGATGAGATAGAGCGACGGTACCGATCCGGGGATCCCAGGAAGCAGGATCCCTGCACGGGCCGGCCTGACGCCTGAGGCCAAGTGTACCGGCGTTCTATCTCTGTAAACCCGCTCGCAGGTACCTATTTCTTAGTTGAGGATACTCTCTACACACTCTCGCTTTTCCCTTTCCCCGCCCGCCTATCCCTGCCAGCAACCCTGCGGCTGTCTCTCTGTCTTTTGCTCACTCGCTCTCTCGCTCTCTCGCTCGCTCGCTCGCTCGCTCGCTCTCTCTCTCTCTCTCTCTCTCTCTCTCTCTCTCTCTCTCTCTCTCTCTCTCTCTCTCTCTCTCTCTCTCTCTCTCTCTCTCGCTTGCGTTCTTTATTTCTTTTGGATGTGAGATCACTGACCACCTACCCGATGAGGCGCTCGGCAATGACCTCGGAGCTAGTGGCTCGCTCCGGGGGCTCAGCAGCCCGTTCTGAGCGGCGAGAAAATATGTCCGCCCGACACCGCCTCGGCCGCAGCGTTCTTTAAGCTTAAACCCCTTCTCAGAGAGAGCGGACTCTTGCTCACTCAGAAAGAAAAACACCGCGTGGCCGAACACGTTCGAGCAGAGTCAAGTCTGTTCAACACCGCTCAACATAGCGGGAGCGGTCAACTCCCGCGGAGAGGCTGCTTTCGCCTCCCTCAGTCAGTCGCGCTCTCCTCCGCTCCTCCCTTCTCCTCTTCAGAGCAGGACTTTGCTTTCCTGCTTGATTGAGTGAACACCGCTCTAGCTTGAGCACTTACTTGAGCACTGGATAGGGTCGATTCCGCATGGTACGGGACCCCTCGCTCTAGCTAGCTAGTAAGAGCAGCGATTGCTTCAAGCCGACACCGCTCTCGTGTTATCGAACACCGCTCCAACGTGCGTCGTCTGTGGCTGCATCTGCGGTCTCCATCCCGGTGTCCGCCCCGTGCGACTCTCCTCTGCCCTAGCAATCGTTGGCATGAGAGCTCGCCCCGCGGCCCTCGTCGGCGTCAGGATCGCCAGACGTTTGAAGAGCAACAGTGCAATCAGCTCGGCAAGCGAAGACTTGAGAGGGTTTCTCATGTGGCGTCGGGCGTGCGAGTGAGCGGTCGCGCGCGCATGCTGTCGTGACAGCGGCTAACGGTCGTGAGAGCGGCTAACCGTCATGACGTGAACTTTCCATAGTCTCGTAGATGGGGGCGCGGCGCGGGCGCGGAGACCACGAGACTAGTGCTCAATATCTTCGCTCAATCAGATAGTGCTCAATATTTTCGGCGCACCACGCAGGTGTTTTCTGTGTATTGAGGTGAAGAACAGTCCGGCTCGGACTGGACACCGGTCACCGCGGCGCGTCGAGACATCCAGCTGTTTCATGGAGCTGAAAGTAGCTTGGTCCTCGCCTGTGGCGAGGCACTCCCACGCCTCACGGGGTCCCCCCTTGCCCGGGGGGGCGAGGGAACCCGAGCCTTGGCGGGCAGCGTTCAGCTGGGGCGAGCCTTGGGAGCAGCGTTCAGCTGTTCCCACAGTAGGCGGGAAGTACCTCGCCAGGTCCTCGCCAGGTGCGGCGCACCCGGATCTCGAACTTCGAGTGCTGCGTTCTTGCGCGACGCGCGGGGTACTGCGCGCGCAGGGGGTTCGGACAATTGATTTCTACCTCTCCGGCGGCGCCCGCGGCGCTCTCCAAATACTCGCTCACTATAGCGGCGTGCAGCCGGCGGCGCAGCCACGCCTTGTTGCCCGAGAGGGCCTCGCCACGCTCCTAGCCATAGAGCATAGTGTGCGGGACTACTTTGCGCGGGACGATAGCTACTACTTACTACAGCAGCATTCCCAGCCCCTTTGCCAAAGGTCCGGTTTGAGCGAATTTTGATTAGTTTATAGAACGGTCCCTTGTGCCTTGTGTCGCTGGCGCGCCCCAGCCCAGCCCAGCACGAGGCACCCTCTAGGCACCCCCCTCCCCCCCCCCGGGTCCCGGCGCGCCGCCAGCGCCGAGGAAATTTTTGAGAAATGCTAAAGAGCGGCCGCACACTGCTCGGTACCCCCCCCTGCACACCGACAAACAGCGCGCTTATCTTGCGACCCCCCTGATCAGGTGTCCGCCTGTCACGTATAGTACATAGAAGCTAGAACGTTTGGAGTTGAAGGGCGCGTGTCGCTGTGTGCACAGCTAGCTGTACATAAGCGTCCACCTTGACCTTCTGTGTGTGACACTTGTATAACACTTGTGTGTGTGTCTCACATCCCTCCCTTGGGTTGTCTCTTTTCTTTCTTTTTTCCGGCCTGCATTCCGCCTTTATCGATCTACCTGCTACCCAATTGCCGTGCGCGTTCGCCTCGACGCAGATGACATCTCCTACACGAGGCGCTGCAGCATCCACATCATCACCGGCTCGCGGCAGTACGGGCACTCGCGCATCCGATCCGCGCAAGCGCCGCACGCGCACTGGTGCCCACATGGCACGGCGATGTGCGTCTTCGGCCGGGTGAAGCACACGATGCATGTGGTCTCACCGCCGAGGGTGGACTCAGGAACAACCGCCCGGCCAGTGTCGAAGTCGGCGTCGGCGAGCGAGACGGTCGCCGCCGCTGGCTGAGGCTCTCCCGACACCGCATCGTCGGGGACGGAGTCGGAGCTCGGGTCCTCGGGTCCGATCGAGTCCTCATCGGGGGCAGCGGCAGCAAGCTGCGACGGCGAATCCGATGGCGGCGCAAAGGACTCGGCGAAGTCGGCCGGAGCAGCGGCGCCAATTTCCGGTGATGGCTCCTCTAGTGCCTGTCCCTCTGGCACTACACTCAGCCTCGCCGTCGTCTCGCCGAGGCAGCGGACAGGCACTCCCGCCTCCTTCTCCGCCTCGGGCGCCGCCACCTCTGCATCCACCTCTGCCAAGTCCGCCTCACCCGCCGCCTCGCCGTGCGCCTGCGACGACCCTGCCCTGCCCTTCCCCTTCTTCTTCTTCTTTCCCTTCTTGCTTTCCTTCTTCTTGTCTTCCGCCTCCTTCTCCGCCTCGAGCTCCGCCAGAAGCGCGTCGCCTAGGCACAGGTGTGTGATGAGACGCTGACAAAGCCCAACCTCCATGTCCGCCAAAAGGCGTCTCGCCTCGCCGCTTCGCCTCCGTCTCCTTCGCCGCCCTCGCCGCCGTCGCTTGCTCCTCAATCAGCTTTGCGCACTCGGTGTGGCCTGCCTGCCTCGCATACTGCAGCGCCGTCTTCCCCCTCGAGTCGCACAGCTCCAGGTCCGCACCGCGCTGCAGAAACGTCTCGACCAGAAGCTCATGGCCGTTGCCGGCGGCAAGCATCAGCATCGTGGTGCCGTCCACGCCGTCACACAGGAACGTTGCGTCCATCTGGCCGCCGCTGTCGACCCAAGCCTCAACCGTCGCCTCCCTGCCTCGCTCGGCCGCCCTCCAGACCTCCTCGGGGACCTTACACTCCAACATCCCCTCTGCCCACCGTTCGGCGATGACTTCGGCGAGCGACTGCTTGACGTTGGGACACTGAGCTCCCGACGCTTCCGCCGCCCTAGCCGCCACAGAGAGCTCGTATGCAGAGAGGACGCGGACGCACTCCTTTTGATGCTCACTCTCAGCATAATCCAGCGCCGTCAGTCCCGAAGGAGAGCGCATCGCAAGATCAGCTCCCGCCTGCAGGCGCTGTCCAAAACCATTCTGCTCCAAAAAGCCTGCTCCAAAACAGAATGGTTTTGGACAGCGCATCGCAAGATCAGCTCCCGCCGGAGCACGATGGCGGAATGGTTTTGGACAGCGGCAAGCATCAGCGCAGACATCCCGTCGCCGTCCCGAAGGTTGACCTCCGCCTTGTGCCGCAGCAACAAGACGACCACCAGCTCGTGGCCCTGCTTGGCGGCGGCCATCAGCGCCGTGCGGTGGCTACCGCCGGAGTGCATGTCAATCTCTGCGCCGTGCCGCAGAAGCATCTCGACGATCCGCTCGTGGCCATAATTTGCGGCCATCATCAGCAGCGTGACCTCGCCGCTGCAGTCTCCGACCTCAAGCGTAAAGATCCCGTTACCACGCCCGCCATCAATGAGCCACGCCAGGACCGTCGCCTCATCGCCTGCCAAGGCCGCCATCTTGATCTCTTGGGTGAGCATCAGTGGCATTTTCCAGTCTTCGGCCGCCGAGATCTGTACGTACCTCGCGACGCACTCGTCGCGCGTCTTGCTGTACGCATCCATCCCCTCCGCGATGCGGTCCCAGTGCTCCTCCGTGAGCTTGGGGAAACGTGCCAGCAGATCCTCAAACTCTCTCCTCTGCTCGGCACTCCAATCGCCGGCTCGAGCGCGCCGACCCGCCACCTCCTGGAGGTGTGTCCTGATGGCCTGTTCGCACTCGGCGTGGCCCTTCAGCTTTGCATACTGCAGCGCCGTCCTGCCGGTCACATCGCGCGTCGCCATATCAGCGCCCGCACGCAGCAGGCGGAGCACGACGGTGGGGTGGCCGTGGTAGGCGGCATTTATGAGCGCGGTTCCGCCGTCGCTATCCTGCTTGTTGATCTCCGCGCCACGTCCCAGTAGCAAGTCGACCATTCCCTCGTGGCCGGCGTT